AACGTTTCTACGCGTATGACCATTAAACTTCAAATTTGTTCAAAAAATATTATTATATTACCGGTAATAGTATGTCACCAACCACATGGTTGCTGACATTGATTTTACTGTTTAAAATGTATACATTATATCATTAAACTTTTTTTGTACACTATAACTTTTTTATACATATTTTACCATTAAACTTTTTTATACACATTTTACCATTAATCTTATATAACTTATTCAAAAAAATATTATTTAAAAAAATACATATTATTACATAAAAATGAGTTTTTCATCACCTATTATGACTCCCAGATTTTGTAAGGTTTAGGGGAGATGGTTCGCTTTTAACAATGATACTAAACACTCATTTTTACAACTACATCTTATATTTATGTTTGTCACACATCGATTGAAAACCCACATGATAGACTTACTTTTTTTCAACCATTCAATTCACTTGTCATATGATTATCACATCAGATTTTATTTCTCTCACTCTTATCCCTTCTATCTCACAACAAATAGAAACTCGTTTTCGTTTCTTTTCCAACCTAGTTAATTTTTAATTTTAAAATAAATACACATTAATTAAAATCATTCAAATTTATTTAAAAAAAATATTAGTAACATACAAAACTAACTAAAAACATAAAAAATTATTTTGGTGCAAGTCTTTATACATGATTTACAAATAACCAAAACACACACACACACACACACACACACAGAGAGAGAGAGAGAGAGAGAGAGAGAGAGAGAGAGATGTTATGTAACTCGCCAATCTTGAGGTTTAGGGTTCAAGTCCCATCAAAATTTGGGATATAGATGGATTTAAGAGTAGCTTAGGAGCAGAGTAAATTTGTCGTTCTCAAAAAATATAACCCGTTCGTTTCTATGTAGCGATATCCTTATCTTGAAGAAGTAGTCCCCCAACAATACCGTCTGTTGTCTATCCTACCACCTCAAGGACAATACCGTCCGTTGTCTATCCTACCACCTCAAGGACTCCGTTCATCTTTAGAATTAATGTGGTTCTGGGCTAAATCAATATGTTCCATACGCATAAAACTAGACTGGTTTCAAAACCGGTGCCATAAGGATTAAAAATGTAGTTTACCACCATCTCTATTAATTAAATTATTTGAGGAGGGTAGGGTTAATCGAGTCAACCCGATCGGGTTTCGGGTTAAATGGGTCGGGTTAGTCGGGTTTGCAAAAATAAAAATTTCACCCAAAACCCGACCCTTTTAAGGTGCGGGTTAGTCGGGTTCTGGTTAATTGGGTTACGGGTTAATAGGGTCGGGTTAATCAGATTGAAATGTAAGTCAGACTAATGTTTTTCCATTTGAGCAAATCAGGTAATAGTACAGGGACTGAATACGTAAATTGCTAAAAAAAGTTCAATTCGTTATGCTGTTAGTGTAGGTTACACATAGAAGGTATGATGGATTCAATTTATACCATTTTTATAAATCACTTATTAATATAGGGATTGAAAATGTAAATTTCCAGAAAATGTTCGGTTTATTTTGTTACTTATGATAACCAGTCGTACCAGGATGAGAAAAAAATGAAGGGTTTTGTCTTTATGATATGATTTAACATTTAAACGAAGAGAAATAAAGTTGAAGAATAACAATAGCTACAAAGGGTTGTACTGTACAAACTGTTAGTTAAACGGATTATTCGGGTTGACCCGAAACCCGCTTTTTTTTTTTTTTTAAATCAACCCTAAACCCGATCCTAACTTCAATTCAAGTTTGTCGGGTTAACCCGATTAGAAATTTTGACCCTTTTAAACCCGAACCTAATTACCTTATTCGGGTTTGGGTCGGGTCGGGTTTGAGTTTTTTTACACCCCTACCTATAGGCTATAAATATAATTAATAAAACCTCTTTAAGTGTTGGGCTTTGAACCCAAGCCTGGTTTCTAGATCTGTTTGGGCTGCCTTAGATTATCTTACACATTTTATCCCGAGCGTCGATTGTTAAAATTTGTGAATTTCATGAAACTCAAATGAAACCCAAGGAACTTACTTTCTACCAACAAACAAAATTTACACAATGACGGTAAAAAAAAAATCCATGGAAATAGATGTAAAACACATAATATTTGACATCTCACATCCTTAGAAACAAAAATAAACACCTTCCTTCCCTTAAAAAGGCCTTAAAATATATATAAATACTGCCTTCATCAATCAATCATCATAGCGTTTCCACCAACCATCGATAATCAGTGCAACCTTCGCACACTCGAATACCGCTTTCTATTCCTTTTTGCCTGCACCAAATAAGTTATATTTATTTAGAAATCCCAAGATTTTTTTTGAAATAATTTTGATAAATTCCAAGTTATTTTATTGAATATTGAAGTCATGAAGTGGCTAAGGCTGACCAAAGAATGATCCACGATCGATGGCGTCCTTGTTAGCATCTCCCAGAGCCGCAGATGCCAAGTAGGTCTCTGCCAATTGAACTCTCTTGACATTTTCTTGTTCTTGGACAAGCATGTTTCCATACTCCAAGAGCTTCTCGATTGTCATCTTTGGTTGCTCGAATGTCGGGGGTCCTTCCCTCGAGTTCACAAGCTTCTTTCCAATGGTTTCAACTCCAACATCTCCGATCCACTTCCTCACTTCATCATCGTACACTCTTGCCCTCAACGCCCCAAAGAAATCTAATTCATCATGAATAATAAAAAGAATTAAGATATGTTAGTATACCCAATTAGTATTGAGTATTGAGTATTGACTAGAATACAACATCATTTTCCTTACCGATGGATTGACCAGGGAAAGTATCGACAAGTTTGACAATGGCCTCATCGGAGATATTGTCAGTACGGAAGATACCAATACAGACACCAATTCGGTCTTCTCTAGTCGGAGCCCAGTAGAATTTTTCCATACGACCGTCACGGATGAGCGGAGCATACAGTGTTGAGAAGTCGTTTCCGGTGACGATGATGGGGACACGGGGGTTATCCTCCTTGTTGTACATTCCGGGGAGTTGTACGTTGGTGGGGTTATCAGCAATGTTCATGAGGGTGGCGTTCACCATCTGGTTGTTCACTGTGTACTGTGTTGTTCCACCCATTCTACCTGCACCTGCATCCAGATCGTTGATGAACAGGCAACACATTTTCCCCTTCTTGATGATGTCCGCCGCCTCACGGTAACGTTGTCTGATTAACTTTGCCGGCTCTCCGGCGTTCCCACTTTCCAATTCTCCGGCACTCATCATGATAGGTCTGCCAAACCCAAAACACACCCATCACATCACTACTAGCTTCAAAACCGATGACATTAATTCCTTGATTATTATGTACATATATAGCAAGAGTATGACGATGATTCCTAACCAAGAAATTAGTCAAGGTTTCTTGAAACAGATTAATTAAACTTACGTGATTCCCATCTTGGCAAAGACAAGTTCACATTGGAAAGATTTTCCCTGACCTTTTCCTCCCCAGACTCCAAGAATGAGAGGGACCTTGATGTTGGGCAAAGTCATGAAGTTCTTGGTGATGTGAACAACAAGCTTGTCCATGAAAGCAGGCGCGATGTAGAATCCACCCATGTTGTTATCCAAGTTATATCTATATATATACATATAAATTTCATAATCAAGATTCAATCCAATTGCATGTGAACCCAATCAAATTCATAGATGGCTGAAGGGATATGGAGGTGATTACGTACGTGCGAAGCCCAGTGCTGATGTACTCATATGAACTCATGACGGCGAAATGGGTTCCGGTGTCTTGTGGGGCTTGGAACAGAGGGTCAACCATCCCTTTACCTCTGGTGATGTCTTGTTGATCATCGGAGATATCGTATGCGAGACCCTTCCATCTGTCTTTGTCTGTCTGTTGGGTTTCCTCGATCTCTTTCTCAGCTGCCAAGATTTTGAATGACGCAAACTTGTTGCTGTTGGCGGCGAGTCTTGAGTTCACTATCTTCTTCAAGCTGCTACCTAAAAAGGTCGAGCTCGGGACTGCAGCAACACCACTGCTTCCATTCAAGCTCAACTGTAATCATCATAACAATCGCAGATTTTAGTTAATGACCCTTTTGAAGATCAAGAAAGATCTACCATTTTAAAAGAATTAAGTGATCATATATGAAAGTGAGTAAAGGAGTATATATATACCGGGGCTCTGTTGACGGCGACTCCGAAGGTTGTTACGGCGGTGGCCATGGATCTCCGACGAAGATAAGTGTGGAAGTGGAAGTGAGAATGAGTTGGGAGGAAGGTTTTGTGAGTTATTATAGTAGTAACGAGTGACCAAGAATTGTAAGGAGGCTGAGGATTGGCTATTGAAAGCTTAACGGCCACATAATCAAGATATCGTACCGTGCCACGTGGCATCCAAATATTGCATGTTGGTTTGAAGGCCATAGACTTGGATGGGAAGACGGGCTTTTTGAGGTTAACCTTCAATCTTTCTAACACCACTCAATATCTTTGGCCTCATTTAATATTTTAACAATTTCATTCTATCCATATAAAGTTAAAAAGAAAAATATAAATAAAATAAAAAAAAATTATAGGCCTTCGTTTTATGTATTGTGTGATAGAATTCAAAGTATACTCTTAATAATTTTAGAGTAGTAGCGATAGTTGGATAACGAGGTACAAACATAGATTGCAACATAATAAACCAATGGGAAATAACACTATAGCCGATTAACATGTGTTTTGTGGTCCGATTAGATTCTTAATATTTATTTTTTTCTTTTTGCGCTATAGGTTACTTAAGTTTTATTTCATGTCAATTAAGTCATTAGGAGAAATTTGAAGCAGTCATCCGGTTTCCACAAATGACATGGATATTTAACGTATTAATATTTATTTTTGTCGAGCACATCATTAAATCAACATCCTCTTAAAAGACCTATTATACATCGTGCCATTAACCTGTAAACTTTCTTCCTTCATTTCGATCCACAAAACTAAACATTGAGGCATAACAAAAAGCAAGGTTTTCTTGCACCATAGATGCAGACATGTCGATTCCAAATCCTTTTGGACTCTATTGCATAGTGGAACTCAATTATAACGGAGTACCAGTATTTTTTCGTCATCACTTCTCTTATGCTAATGATTTTACGTATACAATAGATGATAATGATTTTGCTCGTCTCACTTACTCTAAGTTTGTGACGCGTCTTGAATGTTACATGCAAGAAGAGTTCAAGAAAGTTTATTATTACGAGTCAGACAAAACATTACCGGAAGGAATTCGCCCTATTGCAAACGATGTTCACTATGCATCTTTCATATTTGATGCTTATGGAACATATGGTAAAATTTATGTATATGTGGACCATTATGGTGTTGAAATAGAACAATGGTTTGGTCAGATCAATTAAGAAGATTATCGTGATTCTTGCATCATGGGTAGGGATAGTGAGGATGAACTAGATAATTTGATGGATGTTAGTGTTGATTTTACTAGTGAAACTGTAGTTAAGAACATAACATCAAATGATGAATTTTTAAGTAAACTATATGCCACATATGGAGAGGATGACTTGCACACCACTAAAGGTGATAAGGGTGAGAACGACCCTTATGCTAAGATATATTCCATATTCAATGAATCCTTACACTGGAAGAAGCAAAAAACCAGTATTGGTATGAGATTTAATGACCCATGGCAGTTTAAAACCATGTTATGAAACTATATTGTTGCCAATGGGTAGGGAATAAGGATGAGATTTAAAACCGGAAAACTAGACTGGAACCGTTAGAACATGTATATGTAGAACATTCTGAGTTTCGTGTTTAAAGAATGACTTTATCCTAGTTTCGGGTAATCCAGGTTTAGGTCCTTCGGGTCCAGGTAAACTGAGTTTAAGAACCGAATCCGGTGTTAGGAACCGAAACCGATTTGAAGGACCGAAACTGGTTTTTGTAAAAAAATTAAAGCATAGATATCTCATTCGTTTGAAGTCAGATTGTTATGTGGTTTTTCCAAAGTGTAGTTTAGTTTTTTACATAATTTTATACTATTGTTTTGACATTTTTGGTTTAATATTGATTGACTTACAGCCCCCCCCCCCCCAAGTCGGGATATCAAAATTAGAAATTTTATGTTTTTCAGCTTTTTTGTATTCTGTAAAAGTTTTAAAACATGCATATCTAATTGTTTGAAGTTGGATTATCATGCGGTTTTTTCTAACGTGTAGTTTTGAGTTTGTACATGATTTTAGAATATAATTTTGTCATTTTGGGTGTCATAGTCATTGACTTAAATACCCCCAAAATCGGGATATCAAAGCTAGAAATTTTATGTTTTTTAGCTTTTTTGTATTATATGAAAATTTTAAAACATGCATATCGAACTCGTTTGAAGTCGGATTATCATGCGATTTTTTCTAACGTATAGTTTAGAGTTTGTACATGATTTTAGACAATATTTTTCTCATTTTTGGTTTCATATTCATTGGATTACAGTCCCCCAAAGTCGGGATATCAAAGCTAGAAATTTTCAAATTTTCAACATTTTTTTTGTATTCTGTGAAAATTTTAGAACATGTATATCTAATTCGTTTTAAGTCGGATTAACATGCGGTTTTTACAGCATGTAAAATAAAGTTTTTACATGATTTTAGACTATAATTTTGTTATTTTTGGTTTAATATTCGATGACTTAAAGTCCCCTGAAGTCAGGATACAAAACTGGAAATTTTCAAAGTTCAACCCACTAAGTAATTACCAGATAATTTCGGTTTTCCCGTGTTTTCCAGTTCTAGACCCACTTTACCTAGTTCTACCTGGCCCACTTTGATGTTTTCAGGTTTTCTGGTTCTAGACCCACTTTACTCGGTACCTTACCCAGAATCGGTTCCTATATACCGGTCCGGTTTCCGATCCTAAAAAATCTTGTTAACCGATTTTCGGGTTTTCCAGGTCCAGGTCCATCCGGGTCGGGTTTGGAACCACTTTCATCCCCAATAGGTATCAACTTTTCTTTGAAAAAAAAAAGACGGGAAAAGATTATTGGTGAAGTGTTGCAAGGATCATTGCAGCATTAGGTTATGGTCATCTTGGATGACTAATAAAGAGACTTTCCAGATAAAATCTTTGAAGAGTGATCATAATTGTGTCAGAAACTTGAAGTTGGGATCACTTGTTATATATGCATGGATAGGGATTCAATACACAAAGCAAATCTTAGCCAGACAAAAGATGAGTGTAAGAAAACTTAGAGTTGTTGTAATAAAGAAGTTCGGTATACAAGTTAGCCTTGGGCAACGTAGGATGGCTAAAAATATGCATTGGAATTGGTTAAAGGAAATCTTGTTGAACACTATGCCAAACTTTGGTCATATAGTGCAGAAACTAGAAGATCAAATCATGGTTCTTCTGTCAGGATAGAAGCTAACCACATGCCAAATGGAAAAAATTATTTCAATAGATTCTATGTGTAACATCTTGATTTCCAAGTATTCCATTTATGCCATTGGTATGAGAATTGTTTGCAAATTGGTCCTAATGGCATTTTTGTAATTTTTGGAGATTCCTTGCGTACGATGGGCATACCCAAAGCGTACGTTTAGGAATGGAAATGGGGCGGGTTCGAGGCGGGTCAGCATATCCCATCCCCGAACCCGATAGTTAAATTTGGCCCCGACACCGACCCGATACCCGACGGGTTTCTTATCGGTGTGTCCCGAACCTGAACCCAAAACCCGATATAGACCCGAAAACTAGAACCCGAAACCCAAAAAATGGAAAAAAACTACAATAGAACAATAAGAAATTAAAACCTTACAAAGGCTTAAAATACCAAATAAGTTCTTAACATAATTGAACCAAATATGAAAAACTAAATTCATCGCAATAGTACATTACATTTAAACATTAAAACAAACTGAAAATCAAGCAACCTCTTTTACATCCCACCGTGTTGATCCACAAAATCAAACTCAAAATCAAGCAACCTCTTCTACATCCCACCTTGTTGATCCACAAAATCAGTATTTACTTGATTATAACATGAAACTCTTGACTACTTTCAGTTGGAGCATGAATTTGACTGTTTGAATTCATATCCGCTGAGAAATAACAACCAATGTAATATCAGAAATCAGATACAATAGTTTGTTAAGTTCAAATCAGCTCAAATTCGAAATCAGATTCTTCACAAAATGAGAACTCAGAATCATCAGAAAACAAAATTCAATTCAGCATAACATAAATCAAATACAACAGTTTGAAAGGTGTGAATCAAATACAACCATATCTTTAACGAGAGTAAAGTGTGTTGCTATTTCCACCAACTTTCCTATTTATGTCAATATAAGTCAACAAACACTGCAGATGATCAAGTATCATTATCTAGTTCAAGTATTTCAACTTATCAAATGTTACTTTTTAAACAAAACACACTTGCCACTTTTACAAATAAATACTATAGCAAGTGTAATCAAACAAATATTATGGAAAATAATTACTTGTAAACACATATCAAGAAAAATGTTACATATACATCAAATAAATTTCGAACATATATTTCACATAAAAGCATTATTTGAAGGCATGAAAGTATAATTTTATATATGTGATGAAGGGATCTGCATAAAAGTCAACTAAATCAATCTAAAAAGGGATTCTCCAAACGTAAGCAACATTTTCCTGATCTTTTTCATCTTTATCCAGATCCGAATATGTTTTTAATAACTCGGGAGATAAAGATCAATGATGAATTGTTGAAGAAGAACCAACAACATTTGGTGGATTCGATCTCCAGAGTAGGTGGCTGATCGAGGAGATGCTGACAATGACAGTAGAAGGTGGAGATGGTTGTGGATAAGGTTTGGAGAGAAGGAGGGAACGGAAGAAAGTATAGTTGTGATGTTTGGCAAAAGTAAGAAGCAAAACCTTTTCAATCCATACCACCAACACTATTGTTTGAAGTGACTTTAAGAACAGTAGATAACATTTTGTCAAATGTTAAGTTTATAATACCCTTAACAGCTTCACAGGTGTGTCATCTGATGCCCAAAACTGGGACAACATCGAAGCTATGCTATGCCTATAACAGGAAAGAAAATAGACGAGTTGAATCAAATTCATCAAAACTGGGACAGCATCAACTAGATCATAACTCAAATTAAATCAAATTAATCAGAAATCATAACTCAAATCAACTGAAATTCGAATAGATACGAGCATGAGAACAGATTCAGAACAGTTATGCTACATCGAATCAGCAAAAAGAAAACGTAATCTTACCTGGATGGTTGTCGACTAGATTAGAACTAGAATCAACGGGTCGTTGTCGCTGGTGGTGAACAGATGAAAACGAACGAGGTAGATGGCTAGCATCGATCAGAACTCGATTCAGATTGCAGTTCGATGGCTCGTTGCTTGCTATTTCTGGTTCCTACGGTCCTGCCTGCCACGAACAAGGCATATGATACTTCTGAGGGATCGACAACTCCACTTCTTTTCCGATCGAGAGAAGAGAATACAGATGAAAATTTGATTATGTCAATTTTTGTTGTCGACTGGAAATTGGAATGGAAGAGAAAAGGATGCGTGATTTTAGGGTTAGAGGTTTGAAGGGCTGAAATGTATATATATATATATATATATATATATATATATATATATATATATATATATATATATATATATATATATATATATTCGGGGCGGGGCAGGTCGGGGCAGGCATCCCCACTCCCTGACCCGAACCCGAAAAAATACTCGATAATGACCCGAAACCCGATAAGCTCGCCCCGACCCGCCCCGAAATCTTCGGGAATCGGGTTTTCCCGTCGGGTTCGGGTCTTTTTGCCATCCCTACGTACGTTGGGCGTATGTGTTCTGGACCCAAAACCATAATATCTAGGGTTTGTGCACTATTTAAACACCATTATAGCCCCATTAACATTTCTTTCATCAGCCTACAACCCCATTTCGACCCTTTCAAACCCTAATCTCTTGAGTGAAGCAATCTTAACTTTGTGTGTGCATTTTTGTGTTCTTGAAGGAGGAAAAAGGAAGAGAAAACCATATTAGAAGAGTAGAGCACTTTGGATCCAGAATCATATCATCATTTGACACCATTTGGAGGTAAAAAGCTTTGATCTTGATGAAGTGTTACTTAGATCTTGTTTAGCCATGGATTTGTATTCTTTTGGTCCCATAAGCTTGGTATTATGAGTATAGGCTACTCTAATTTATATAATCTGTCCTTTCAGAAGTTTTGGAGTGTTTAGAAGCATAAAAATGTAATCTTGGGGCCTTAGTTTCCTTCCATGCATGAGCTAGGATATCTTAATGAGTTAAGAAGTTAGGGTTTTTGGTATTGATCACTTGATCGCCATGCAAGACCATAAAGTTGGAAGCTTTATGG